ATACACAGACAGCCTCTTCCCAATATGCGTTTTTGCAATTTACATATATGCAAAAACGCATAAAACTGATTTAGGACGTAAAAATATGCAAATTAGTCTAGTACCTTCCTTAAACTGTTTTAGAAATATGCTGACGTTGAAGCTCCTTTTATGCGAAAGCAGCGTGATCACATCTTTTTTTCTGGAAGCCCGTCTTTCAAGCGGTGGCGTATCACTATGTCCGGATGCAGCGCAGGAGAAGATCGCTTCCAGTTCATCGAAGTTCAGGTGCAATTCGGAAATAGTTTATTCATTTGGTACAAATTCAACTCAAAAAAGTCACCCTCTGGTCACGTCTTTTTATCCTTTTTTTTCAAAAATAACGACTTAAGATGCAGAAGATGGCAAGTTGATGCTCTTTGATTAAAATATCAAAGAAGACGTATTGTTGGCACGTTTTGCTTCGTTTGCAAGGCAAAGCTAACGTTAGAGTGAAAACAGCTTGATGAAGTTTTGGGTAGATAACGCAGAGGATTCGGAAATCAAAACTGTAATATTTGCTAAATCACAAAAGAAGTACCATTCTCGGGCAATTTTGCTGACGACATCCAAACATTGCGAATTTTTTGCACACCATCGCCAATCACCTGCAACTTATGGTCTGTTTCGCTATCAGTTAAAACGCATAATTCTTTAAATATCAGTAAGGAATTGGAGCGAGATGGAGTGAGGGAAAAAGGGAAAGAAAAGGGAAGAAAAAAGAATAAAAAAAACTAATCTAACCAAGTCTAAATGCGTATTACCATCGAAGACAAATGTGCCATGTTCCACCAACAGTTTCGTTTTTCAGAGTGGTAATTTGAATAGCAACTTAAAAATGTACATTTTAACAAAGTACCAATCCCCGAGCAGGATTCCGGCTGCATCAGCGAACGTCGATCAGTTGTCGACGCAACAACTATTCTGATTAAATAGACTGTAGCGATATTTTTGCTTTCCATAGCAATACCAAGCATTCTCTAGTTTTTACGCACTTTTTGCATCTATGCAATGCACTGTAGCATCTTTGGACCGGCAGTCGGTGCGCTGGTCAATTATTTTGATTAGATTCGGTTGTCAAAAGCTAATTCAGCCATCTGATATAAGCGATGTTGTAACTTTCACAAAATTACGATTTCTATCAAAAAGATTTCTTTTGCGACTGTATGAAAAGGCATGGTACATCTCATCTCCTCAAAAATAAATGCTGGTACACGGAAAAACTTCAGCCGCTTTGGAGCGTAAAATATTTTTGAAACATTAGCAAATTTCTAACACTTCTTGTTTAACTGCTTTTATTTGTTATTTTTTTTCTGATAACTTTGAAAGCCAACCTTTTCAACAGGTATTTTTGTCCACTGAATCTGTTTCAGCTTTGAACCTCCTTTAGGCATGGCTTTTGGCTGCAGTGCTTTCGGTATATCCACTTTATTTCTGGTCGACAATGCCGGCCCTTTTGAAGTCAGTGGTGGTGGCGGTGGTGGTGGTGTTGCGCGGTTCTTTCCCGACAATAAGCATGGTGGTGGTGGAGGTGGAGGTTGCGGTACATTCTTCACAGCTAGCAGTGCTGCGCCATTTGTCACTTGAGGAGCTTAATAACATAATAAAGTGAAATTTTAACCATTTTGTGCTTATTTTGCCTTTGAATAATTTTGAAGGCGTGAAGAGGAATGTTTCTCTCAAGATCGATAAGAAAATCTAAGCTGGAATGCATCAACTTTGCCGGTGCGATCGTGTGTTTTTGCACCAAGCTTGAAGTAATTAGGTCACTGAATGAACGGTTGCTGCTTCGCAACTACTTTGCGCGCTCAATACCGTAAATCATCGTAAATTTCGCATAAACGAAAATAAATCAATTTTCGTTTATGCGTTTAGCGGTCTTTTTTTGAAAATGATTCAGCTGTTCAGCGAGCAGTTCCCTCACCAAAAAATTTAACTGTCTGTGCACGAAAACCACGCGTACCTGAAGGCTGAATTTGAAATCTTTAATTTGTATTTGGACGGAGAATATTTTCCTAAAATTTCAGCTTTTCAGCGTTTCTGTTTCCCGAACTACCAATTTCTTGGCCAAAAACTTTCACGGAACCATACGTGAGAACCGCGCATACCTGGTAGCTGAGTTTGGTAACTTTAAGTTGTACATGAGTTGGGAGCATCCCCTTAAAATTTCAGTCTCTTAGTTTTCCTAGTTTCCAAGTTAGCGATTTTCCCTCCAGGAACCCTCATGGGGTCATACACGGGAACCATGCACAGCCGAGTGCTTAATTTGAAATCTTTGACTTCTATGAGGACGGGGAACATAACCTCAAAATTTCAGCCTTCTAGCTTTTCTCGTTTCTCGCCAAAATTTCACGAGCTCGTACGCGGGCTCAGACGTATGTGAGGGCTAGTACCGCGATCTTGGAGTAGCACTTGGTCGGGGAACCAGTTGGTAAAATTTTGGCGCCGAAGCTTGCTTGATTGCCGAGTTGAAATACCCGGACAGACGGGCATGCGCATACACACAAATACGCATAGACAGGGTCATTGCAATATGCATTTTGCATGCAATTTGCATATATGCAAAAACACGTAATTAAGAGATGTTTGGAAACCTGAAACAACGAAGAAAACCCAGGCTGGAACGCATTAGGCGAGCCGGTGCGATCATGTGTTTTTGCACAAAACTTAAAGTAATTAGGTTAACTGTATGAATGTTTTTATGCGTTTTTTGCAGCAATGCAATGCGAAAAACGCATATTGACGAGAGGTTGTCTGT